ACCTCCTGCCAAGCCACCCAAGCAATTTTCCTATGATTTTCATCCCCTCCCCAAAGAAAGAGTTTAAAAGAGATTCAAGTTTACAAATGATGCCTTAAGGAGCCTTGAAGAAAGAAAGATAGTAGATCGGAATGGAATTAAGGACTGATTTTAAGAGGACACTATGCCTACCAAAGGACAAAGTTGAAGACTTTCATTTTGATAACCTCTTCTTCACTTTAGAGATCACGGGCTCCCAAGTTTTGATACAATGTGGATTTGCCCCAAGAGGTAACCCCAAATAGAAAAAAGGTAAAGAACCAACCTTACAGTTTAGAAACTGGACGATCAAGTTTAACACTTCAATATTAATATTAAACCCATAGAGATTGCTTTTATGAAAATTAACTTTGAGACCCACCACCAACTCAAAAATCTGTAAGATGGATTTTATCGCCCAAACATTATGTGAAGATGCTCCACCAATAATCAAAGCGTCATCTGCATATTGAACGTGAGACACACTAATTGACTGGTGTCCAACTGAATAGCCACTAAACACATGACATTCCACAGCTTTTCTCATCAATGCATTAACGCCCTCAACAACTATAAGAAATAGAAAATCGAGCAAGTGGATCTCCTTATCTTAATCCCTTGCCAACCCCAAACTCACCAGTGGGACTGCCATTTAATAAGACATAAATTCTTGCAGTGCTCACATATTCAACAATCCACTTCCTCCATTTTAACGGAAAACCCATCCTTTCCATCATATACTGAAGGAACTCCCAATTAACTGAATCATATGCCTTTCTAAAATCAACTTTAAAACAAGGATAAGTTTCATTAACATAGATATATAACATAGATATGTATTTAAATTATATTTGTGTGAGTTTATTAAACCTTAACAAAAATTTTGAGTTTGAATATCTAATTATATTAAATATTCGAGTCATAATGAAAGTTATAATGAAAGATATGGTTTATATAAAAAATATTTTTAAAATATTTTTTTTTATAATTTATCATAAAGAAACACTTTTCTTTTAATAAAAATAAGTTAGGCTTTTTTTTTAATCTTTTTAATATATCTGCTTTTAGTCCTTGAATATATATATA